ATGCTTACACATAGGTCACTTGAAACATGATTAGGAAATGTGCACTGATGTGTTACTCAATTGTCATGAATACTCTTCTTTCTTTCTCACTTCTTACACATTTGATAGTTTAGATATGAAATAATACAACATATGCAATGAAAGAGTCTGATTTTTATACCCATAAGATCCCTAGTTTGACGCCTCAGAGACAACTGATGCTGGGATATTGTGTGTGTTCTGGAAATTCTATGCCTTTGTAAGAATGTTTTCTCGTTTGAGGGCAGTTTGATCATATTGATCAGATATACAATGTATGTGCATTTTAATCCAGCAACCACATGTGTAGATGCATGAGTATGTGGGAATAAAGAGGTCAGTACAAGAATTTTCATATACGATGTACACTATGTATCCCATTTATTTGCCCCATTTTCACTTAAACAGGCCCTGAACTCTGTTAGACATGATTCTTTAACACATCTTGCAGCTTACCCCGTATTATTCATGTACTTCTCGGCTTTCCCATGGATGCAGTGTTCCATTTTACGAATGTTCTGTAACTTCTTCAATGAATCCTCAATCCGTACTTATCACAATGGACAATTTTGTCAGAAGTAACAGAACCAATCAATAGAGAGAGGCAGAGTAGCCTGAAAACGTTGAGCACTTTTAATTAAAGATTGGACTTAGCTTCAATTTATTATTAATTTTTAATCCCAAATGTTTACCTTGCCTTGATCTTTTTGTGACTTTAAAATACCCGAACAAGACTAAGGCATTCAATTTGTTATCAGTCTTATCTTTTATTTAGTTTGAAGCATATTTGTGGTGTATGAACAAAATAATTGAATGTTGACCATTGATGCTACTAAATTCAACCAATGCCTTCAAAGATTTCTCCCTCCTGGAATCACGGCCCTAAGCCTGATGGCACGGGGAGAGACCCTGGCCCACACCCGCCCAGAGAGCAGCCTCCTTCTGCCCACAGCAGCAGTCACTGCTTTTTGCAGCAAATTAACACCAGTAGCCATGGCCTGGAGGCTTTCCCCTTTTCTGTCTCTCTCTCTTTCTCTTTCTCTCTCTCTTTCAACACAGCATCTAAACTCAGCTTTTTGTGCACAATGTATTTGCCATTGTTTAAATTTGATTGACACACTAAAAGTCTAGATGCTCTCCCTTCTTTTGTTTTTTTGTTTTTTTTGACTGGGTCTTGCCCTGTCACTCAGGCTGGAAGGCAGTGGTGCAGTCATAGCTCACTGCAGCCTCGACCTTCTGGACTCAGGTGATCCTCCCACCTTGGCCCCATAGTGCTAGGATTACAAGTGTGAGCCATCATGCCTGGCCTCCTCCCACCTCCACCTGCAGCCCCCATTCCAGTGCACACCTGCTCCGCGCTGACCAAGTCAGGGTAGGAGGACGCGTTCCAACCTCCAATTCACCAGCATGTCAAGTTCTGACAGGTAAGCCAAGTCCATTTCTTCCTTAGAAAGGAGGCAGCTATGAAATGAAATCTCCCCACACTTGTAAAATGACTCTGAAGCCATTGGATTCCCTGCGGTGTTTGAGTCAACTCAGCCATGCCTGGTGGCTTCCCAGGAGCAGAGGTTCCTTCCTCGGAATTCCGGAGGCTCAGAGTCCGTGATCAGGGCCAGCATAGGGTTCCTGGTGAGGGCCTGGCCCTCTGGCTGTGTCCTTGTGTGGTGGAGAGGGGAAGTGCGCTCCAGAGGGCCTCTTCTTACAGGGCACTGATCCCGTCACCAGGATGCCATCTTCATCACCTCATCTCACCCTAGTCACTTCCAGAGGCCCTGTCTCTGTCTCCTGACACCCTCATTTAGGGGTTAGGGCTTCAACATGTGAATCTGGGGGGACACAAAGTCCAGTCCGAAACAGGGGCTGGTGAGTAGCCCAGGACACAAAGTTG